TAGGATGTGCAATAAGAACTTTTAAACCAGCAGCTGCAACATCTCTGCTAGAGCCTGCATCGAGGACTGGGAGATTCGGTGCATGTAACGTACTGTACTTTAATAACCTTACTCTCATGCTTTTCTTTCTTGTAATAATAAACCTTTAGTTTTAGATTATAAAGGATTGGCCCAGCGTGCTTTGTGGGTAAGATCCGGAGAGTAAATTGACCAGGGATCTGTGGCTGGTTTCTGGGAACCGGACAGAACTTGTTCAGGGTAGGTGGGATTGGGTGCTAGGACCCCCCACCTGCGTATAAGGCCCGGGGCCATCTGGGGCACGGATATTGCTGGGGTGTCGACGGGGTTTTGCTCGTGAGGCTTCAGGGAGGCAGCTGAAGCGCTCTGCGAGACTGGTTTGTGGCCTGTGTGGAGAGGTCACCAGTCGGGGGGGCTGTAAGGAGCCCCGGATTTGAGCAATTCGCCCTGAGTGGACGCCCTCAGCTGTGCCCAGACACGGCCCGGTCCATCACACTGCCCCACACATCCACCTCCTTCTGCCTTACTGCCCCACATATCCCCCTCCTCAGCCTCCTCCTGCCTCCCTGCCTCACACATCGCCCTCCCCAGCCTCCTCCTGCCTCCCTGCCCCACACATCCCCCTCCCCAGACTCCTCCTGCCCTCCCATTCCCTAAGCACCACATGCCCCTGCTCAGCCTCCTCCTGCATCCCTGCCCACACATCTGCCTCCCCAGCCTCCTGCTTCCTCTCTGCCCCACACATCCACCGCCTCCTGCCTCCCTGCCCCACACATCCCCCTCCTCAGCCTCCTCCTGCCTCCCTGCCCTGCAGCCTCATTCCAGCCCACACCCCTGGCGCCCACATCCCCTTGCCCCTCAGCTCCTCACTGGCCGACCCCCCCAGCCCCTCCTCCTTAGCCCCTCCAGGAATCCCAGCAGCCAGGATGGGTGGACAGGGCAGGCACTGAGGCGTGCGGGTGTCAGGCCTGGACAGAGTCACCCGTCTCCGAGTCTCAGGTCCTGGCTGTAACACGGGTGCCATCGTCCCCCTTCTTGCCAGGCCCGGCCTCGTCCCTTTGGGTGGCTCCCGTTGGGAGGGAGACGGTTTCTCCGGAGTGCCGGGCAGGCTGGTTCACTGTCTGCTATTTTGGTCCGAATGGGGGAACGGCCCAAGAGTTTCCTTTGCCCCCAGGGCTCCATGAGGAATGAGACTCGTGGCGCACACCAGTGGTGCGTGGCGGCTGTGGGAAGGAGGGTGCAGCGACCACCCTCACGCACTCAGGGGGCCTCACGTAAAAGACCCTGCTCACCCGCGTGCGGATCTGCTTGGTTCTCATGCCGTACACGATGGGGTTGAGCATGGGCGGCAGGAGCAGGTAGAGGTTGGCCAGCAGGATGTGGACAGCTTGGGGGATGCTCTGGCCGAAGCGGTGCGCCAGGAAAGAGAAGAGCCCGGGGACGTAGAACAGGAGGATGACGCAGACGTGGGAAGTGCAGGTGCTGAGGGCCTTGATCCGGGCCTGGGCTGAGGGGAGGCGGAAAACAGCCCGGAGGATCATGACGTAGGAGAGCACAATGCACACGACATCCAGGCCCCCCACAAGCAATGAGGGCCTTGATCCGGGCCTGGGCTGAGGGGAGGCGGAAAACAGCCCGGAGGATCATGACGTAGGAAAGCGCAATGGACATGCCGTCCATCCCCACCACCAGCATGGTCACGACCACCCCGTACGATGTATTGAGCGTGGTGTCTGCGCAGGCCAGCTTCAGCACGGCCATGTGCTCGCAGTAGGAGTGGGGGATGAGGCGGGCCTGGCAGAAGGGCAGCCTCCTGAGGAGCAAGGGGAGGGGGGCGATCACAACCAGGCCTCTGACCGAGACCAGCAGCGCCATCTTGGCCACCGTTGTGATTTTCAAGATGGCCGTGTAGCGGAGGGGGTGGCAGATGGCCACGTAGCGGTCCAACGCCATGGCTGCAAGGGTGCCCGACTCCATCAACAAGAAGCTGTGGAAAAAGAACATCTGGGTGAGGCAGGCGTGGAACCCGATCTCCCCGGAGCCCAGCCAGAAGATGCCCAGCATGTTGGGCATGGTGGACGTGCAGAGGACCAGGTCGGTGACGGCCAGCATGGCCAGGAAGAGGTACATGGGCTCATGCAGGCTGGGGTCTGTCCTTATCACAAAGAGGACCACGCAGTTCCCCAGCAGGGCCACGATGTACATGAAGCACAGCGGGATGGCTATCCAGTGCTGTAGGGCCTCCAGGCCCGGGATGCCGACCAGCAGGAACGAGGCGGGCCGCAGGCTGCCGTTGACAGACGCCATGATGAGCTGCGGGACACATCCCACTGGGGCAGAACAGCTCCGGAGGCCTGCGAACGATTAGCAGAGTGTGCGAGGGCTTGTGCATGCAGAGAAGGGCTAACCGTCTGGCTGGGTGTGTGCTAGGCTCGTTGTATGGCTGCTCTCTGTGTCACTATTTGGTGTATCCCGGAGTGTGGGTCGGCTTTTTCCCCTCACCCCAATTCTAAGAGGAAGCCTGACAAGGCACTGGAGGATGCAATAAGTAAAGCGTTGAAGGATGGTATAATAGATACCAATCCACATGGCTTTATGGGAAATAGGACATAAGAACATGAGACCGGCCATATTGGGTCAGACCAATGGTCCATCCAGCGCAGGATCCTGTCTGTCAACAACTTCCTCTGGCAAGGAGTTCCACAGGTCGACTGTGCGCTGTGTGAAGCAAAACTTCCGTTGGTTTGTTTTAAACCTGCTGCCTATTAATTTCATTTGGTGTCTCCTCGTCCTTATGTACAGGAACAAGTAAATAGCTTTTCCTCATTCACTTCCTTCATATGTGTCGTGATTTTATAGACCTCTATCGTATCCCTTCTTTGTCTCCTCTTTTCTAAGATGAAAATTCCCAGTCTTGTTACTCTCTCTTCATATGGCAGCCATTCCAAACCCCTCATCATTTTCCTTGCCCTTTTCCAATGCCAATATATCTTTATTGAGCTGAAGTGACCACATCTATTCTCAGTACTCAAGCTGTGAGCGTGCCATGGATTGATATAGAGGCAATAAGATATTCTCTATCTTATTCTCTATCCCTTTTTTAAACCCCATCCATCTGAAGAAGTGGGCTGTGCCCACGAAAGCTCATGACCCCATCCACATGTTTTGTTAGTCTTTAAAGTGCTACCAGAGCATTTGCTGTTTTGATGTTTCTCCTCCCGTTCTGTTCGCTTATTTGACTGCCGCTGCGCCCCGAGTGGATGTGTTCAGAGAACTGTCCACACTGTCTCCAAGATCTCTCTCAAGTGCCAATAACTAAATTTGTTCCTGTCATTGTGTATGTGTCATTGGGATTATTTTGTCCAATGTGCATTGCTTTGCATTTATGAAGATTAATTTTCATTTGTTGCCCAGTCACCCTAGTTTGGTGAGATCCTTTTGAAGCACTTCACAGTCCGCTTTGGACTTATTTATTTTGAGTAATTTAGTGTCATCTGCAAATTTTGCCACCTCCCTGTTGATGCCTTTCTCTAGATCAATACATCTGGGCTGTGTCTAGACTGGCCAGTTTTTCCGGAAAATCAGCCGCTTTTCCGGAAAACCTTGCCAGCTGTCTACACTGGCCGTTTGAAATTCCGCAAAAGCACTGACTCCCTACTGTAAGAAATGAGGCCTTTTTGCGGAAATACTATGTTGCTCCCGTTCGGGCAAAAGTCTTTGCACAAAACTTTTGCACAAAAGGGCCAGTGTAGACAGCTGAGATTTGTTTTCCGCAAAAAAGCCCCAATGGCGAACATGGCGATCGGGGCTTTTTTGCGGAAAAGCGCGTCTAGATTGGCCACGGACGCTTTTCCATAAAAAGTGCTTTTGTGGAGAAGCATCTGTGCCAATCTAGACGCTCTTTTCCGCAAATGCTTTTAACGGAAAACTTTTCCGTTAAAAGCATTTTCGGAAAATCATGCCAGTCTACACGCAGCCCTGTTGAATAGGATTGGTCCCAGCATGGACCCTTGGGGGACCCCGCTCGTTACCTCTCTCCATTCTGAAAACTGGCCATCCATGAGAGGACCTTCCTTCGTATCCCACGACAACGTACTTTACTTGTCCCCATGGTTGTTGATCATCTCATCACTTCTTCTCTCCAGGTGAAGGAGTCTGGCCTGAGCCAGTCTGGGGACAGCTGCCCGGCCCCACCAGCCTTCGGCCACTTACACACTCTTCTCTAGGACAGTCTGGCCCTGGCTGTGCCCGGCCGAGTAACACAGGCAGCTCCGGCCCTCTGACTCGGTCCCCTGTGGTAGCCAACCCCTGACCCTGGCCCCTCCCAGGCATCCCGGCTCCTCAGCCCGAGCAGGGAAGGGGATCTGGGGGCAGTTCTGGCAGTCTGGGGTTCGTTTTCCCTCTGGTGTCCTGCAGGGCTAAGCGCCCCCCCCCCAGACCAGCTCTGCGGCTGAACGCCGCCCTAAGCCCAGACCTGCCGGCTGACGGGCCCAAGAGCTGGAGAATAGATGGGAACGGGCGAATCCCCCAATTCACAGCCAGTTGTGCCAGAGGAGTCTGGCCTCTCTCTGCCAGCGGGGAGAGGGGAGAGGGCACCGTGTCGTCCTTACAGCCCTGCTGGGCCCCTCCCGAGCTGCGCTCGCCCGGCCTGACACGTCTAGCCACGCAGGCCCCAGGAATTCACTCTGTCTGTGCCCTGTCCCGCCCGGCCTTCCCCTGCAGGGCCGCAGGGCTGCCCCCGGCCGGGGAGAGCTGATGGGCTGGTGGGTGGGGGGTGTCTCTGAATCACGCTGCACCAGCCCCACTCAGGGACAGGCGTGGATCCGGACACATGCCTGAGTCAGGCTCTGTGAGGCAGGAGGGCTGTGGAGATTGCACTGTTCTTGGGGCACCGCTCCCTCCCGCCCCGGGAATGCTGCCTGCCCTGGGAGGGTGAGCAACGCGGACCTGGCTCCATATTCCCCAGTACACACACACACACACACACACACACACACACACACACAC